ATTTCGTTAGAGCTTTCCTAACATTATCTGTGGATATATTTTCCCATTCTTGGAGAGGTGTATCCAGCATTCGTTCTTCTTCACGTCGGATCCATTCTGCTTTTGGGTTATATTCCTTTGCGCTGCTTCTAATATTTTCCCAAAATATCTGTACATTATCAATCGATGGTGGCCTTTCGACATGTATAGGTGTTTTTCCAATTTCCCTATAAAATTTCTTAAGGTCCGTTTGAAATATATTATTTTGGTGATAGAACCTACAACGTTTTTCGTATCGTCTTGTTCTCTATGCCTTGAGCTGAAGTTTCTGCTTCACCATTTCTGTGATTGATGGAATGTCAATTAGGAATTTAATTTTATATTTCCTTATTATTATTATTATTATTATTTATTCATTTATTTATTTATTTATTTATTTATTTTGTTTTCATGTTTTCTTTTACCATACCAGACTCCATTAAAAGCATTATCATGTAGTGATTTCTTATGTGGATGGAACAGAAAGAAAAATGAATTATATTAAACTTCATAATAAAAATTTCTATAATTGTTCACTAGTCAACAGAAAGTTATCAGTTTAATATTCAAGAATTCTTGAATATAAATGTGAAATTGCGTTGTAATATATTGCTTTTTTTTAAATATATTTGCTAATTGCAATGGAAAATAGTTTTAATTATTTATTTGTTTATTTATTTTTTGACCGCACGGGTAAATTAATAAAGAGAAATAAATCAAAATCAGACTGGATTTAGTTATAGCAGATAATAAAATCTCTCATACAATCGATGTCACTTTTTCCTCAGTCTGCTGAATGAAATTGACGGGAAATTAAACGCCAGACAGATGTTTGTAAAGAAATAAAGTATTGAATATATCAGTTACAGCTGCGCTCATCATCATTGGTGTGCTTGTAACAAACATGTAAACCTTTGCAAAATAAGAAGAATTAGAAATGGGAGGCCAATGAAAAGAATTCAAGCAGATTTACGAAACACAAAATTTATAAGAAAGAATTAATAAGGTCTGACATGGTATCAAGTGCAAAGGCGGCATCATAGCCTGGGCTCTTCATTCCATTTTTATGTGCCGTGTCCCTTCAGGGCGTAGGCGATCATGGCTCTCCACTTCCTCCTATCCCTTTTAGTTCTCAATAAGTTTTGTCTTTTTGCTACTTCTACCGAACTCTGTTACGTCATCCACTGAATTAATCTCGCTATGTCACGTATTACTTCCCCTTGTCCATTTTTCTTTCTGTAAGTATCAGATTTTATAATCCTCCCTTTCTCAATAAGTGTCCCAGAATATTCAGCTGCCTCTTCCTGATGTTAAGTAAGTTTCCTCTTTGTTTGCATCCTCTCCAAAATCTTATCGTTGCTCCCATGTTCGGTCTATGGTATCCTTATCATCCTTCTATAGAGCCATGCCTCTGCTGCCTCTGTTCAGGAGACCGTCCAACATTCGCTGCCGTAAAAGAAGACAGATATCATGTAGCAATTCAGTACTCTTTTCTTTGTTACCAATGAAATCCTCCTGTGTCGTAATACTCTGCCTAGAATTTAAAATGCGTCATTGGCCATACCAATTCGTCTTCGGATCTCAGCGTAATCTGTGGGAACACTTCCGAGATATGTAAATTTCTGTAATTGTTTGATTTTAATATCCCAGACCTGTAAACCGCATTTCGGGCTTAGATTTTTGCTGATGCCCATGTACTATGTCTTATGTAGTTTATACTTAGTCCCTTCTTCTAGCTGTCCTTCGCTACATTCTGTAGGAGGTTTTGTAATTTACTTTCTATATCTGCTATCAGCACTGTCTTATCTGTGTATCTTATGTTGTTAAGATCGTGGTCGCTAATGATGAATCCTGGTAAGATTTCCATTTCTCTCAGAATTTCCTCGATGCATAGGTTGAATAAGTCCGGTGAGAAGAAACATCCTTGCCTTACGCACTTTTCTGTTTTTCTATATCTGCTGAACTCATTTTCTATCCGTATGCAGGCCGTTTTCTCCCAGTATAGGTTTTTGATTATTCTTATATCTTTCCCAGATATATCAACGTTACTGAGCAGTTACAACAAATATTTGTCGTATAGTTCACGCAGTCTATAAAACACAGATCCACTTTCTGATAATTAATTAATTAATTATGACCATGGATATCGCGTTCCTTATTCTGGTGTCTTTAACGACCCACCCTGTTCTTGTTCGATATCTGGCCTGATTCTGCTACAGAATACAGATGATGAGTTTCGTCATGTGGCTCACGAGTCTGACTGTTCGGTGGAGTTTACGTTCGATGGCGAGTGTTTTTTAGGCGGTGCTATGAAAATAGATCTGCTGAGATCTTCCGGTATATCCTCACTGTTGTAGATTTCATTTATTATTTCTGTAATCTTGTCTATTCCAAAATCGTCTAAGGCATTGAGTATTTCCGTTACAATTCCGTCTGGCCCTGCCGCCTTGTTGCTGTTTAATTTCGCCAGTGAAGATTCTATTTTTGATTTTAGGCCCGTCGGTAGTTCTGTGTATTGACAGTTGTTCTCTTTCGTCGGGGAAGAATTCTCCAATAAATTCGTTCCAAAATAAAGAAGTTTTCCCTTTTTGGACTGTTCATCGTATGATTCGCTCTCGTATAAATCTATCGCTTCGGTCTCCGGCCCGCAAACCAAAGCCACCCCAGCACTCAATGTTGCCTGTCTTGCACAAACATCAAAACGAGTCGAACTTCAAGCCAATTTACTCAATGCCTGTCCATCACTCCCAGCACCTCCCACCGATGGGCCTCCGCCATCTTAGCTATTAGGAAAGCCACTGACACTACGCTTGAAAAAAACTCAGTGAAGGAACCCAGATTGGTTCGATGAAATTGTGGAAGTTATCTAGCCTCTTCTGAAAGGAAAGAATCAAACACACGACGCTCATCTTGCACGTCCACGCTCTTGTACTCACGCCCAAAACTGGCACCGCTTACGAGCAGAGGCACAACGGAAGCTTCGGGTAGATCAAAACAACTGGTAGCCCCTCAAATCTGAAGAAATTCAAGGTTTTGCTGAAGAAACAAATCTTACGAATTGGCCCAGCGTTGCCCGTGCTTGATTCAAAAATCGTACGACTCATACAGCAATCGCTATCACCTGACTTAAATTATTTTTGTCTTTGCCTTTAAAGGAGTGCCCTATGCCATGCTGAATTTTTTCTAAGCTCTATACTAAACATTAAATCTGTTACGAAAAAAGAACTAAACAAAATGAACATAAAACGATCAGCTTTAAAAAATGGACTCGTAACTGGAAGAACCGAATGAAAAAAGAATGTTAACAACAAATACTTTTTCACACCCAACCCAGTTCTGTGGAATCATAATCAACGCTGAGTTTAAGCAAGCGAATGAGCCAATTGGATTAAAGTGCCATGCAGATTTAAATTTTTCCCACTTGTGACGAATGCAGCTATCGATTTTTTTTGCATGCTAGCATGCTAGTTAAAATTCGTGTCAGTCAGCTGTTGGCTCTCACGCTGGCAATTAGAATCTTCCTGCCTATTCGTGACAGCCAGCTATAGGCTCTCACTCTGACCAGTACAAAATGGCCGCAAACTACATGAAAACTGCCGTAGAAGCATGAAAAATCGATTATTTCCACTATTGATTGGAGTTGGGAAATGCAAAGTCGGTTTGGGCCTTCCCGGTAACTTGGAGCATATGCATGTAAATTATGGTGCAAATCCGTTGAAAATTGCGGCCGTGCATTCGTTACACACGCACACACACATCCTGCCTTTTATAGATAGAGATTAATCGTATATTCGGTCCATCTGGCAAAAGCATTGCATTTGTTCGTTCCGCTGATGTGTCTACTGTGCTCAAGGAAAAAGAAATCCTAGCACGATGGCCTGAGCACTTTAAGGAACTTTTGAACAGATACATCCCGATTTAGACGAACTTACGACTCTCCCGGGACTCCCTGGGCTGGACTCTGTTCCTACATCGGATTAAGCTAACAGCACCATAAAATCCATAAGAAACAAGAAGTCACCCAGTGATGACGGTATTCCGGGAGAGGTGTACAAGTATGGTTGACCTCACCTTGCAACATATCTGCATTTCTTTTTTGACCTGTGCTGGACAAGCAGAATGATTCCTAAGCGCTGGAAACATGCGAATAAGCAAGAGAAAATTTGACGCGCCATCTGCGGCAACAGCAGAAGATTTTCCTCCTAGATGTGGCCCGGAAGATTCTCGGGCGTAATATGCTTCGTTGTCTGAGCGAATTCTACCGGAGTCCTAATGTGGCTTCAAACCTGAACGTAGTACCCCCGACATGATATTCATCGCTCATCTGCTACTCGAAAAAATCAGGGAGTAGGAAAGAGAGATTAAATTTGTTTTCGTTGATTTAAAAAAATAATAATACGGCCAATCGGGAGGTTCTATGGCTTTTGCTTGGCAAATTTAGCTGGCCGCCGACCTTTCTGAGTCTTCTACATCAATCTCATGAGGATATGCTCGTGACTTTTCTCTCTCGGTTACATATGGAACCCAGCGACGGAATACCTATCCGATATCGCTCTGACGGAAACGTCCTCAATGCCCGACGTCTCAATGCTAAGGCTGTGACCTCTACCATTCGTGTCTATGAACTGCAATATGCCGAGGATGCTGCACTATCATGAGGCACTCTCACTACAAAAATATCAACCCAAATAATACAGCGTCATTCAAACAGCGTTTAAACGACATGATCTAGCAGCTCGGCTGCTCATTCACAACGTTTCGTCGTCTAATGTGAACTCATTCATCTACCTCGACAACGTCATATCCGATAATGGACACATTTATAAAAACTTTCTCCGGCGGATAAATTTCACCTCCGCTTCCATCCGACATCTTCGCCTCCAGGTCTTCTCTAATAGCAACCCCCGACTCACCACCAAAGTCGTTGTATATCGAGCTGCTGTTGTTGTTCAACACTACTCTATGGCTGTGAATACTGGACCATGTATCGCCGGCAAATAAAACTGCTTAAGACATTCCACAACTGCCGCCTTCAACTTATCTTGCACGTTACTTGGAAGGATAAAGTCGCCCACAGCGAGGTTCTTCAATGTGCAGAGGTCGTCAGCATTAGGGCCATTATCAAACAACGCTTTCTTCGTTGGGCAGGACATATGCGGATGTCTGGCAGTCGCCTCCCAAAAATTGTATTCTTCGGAGAGATCGAAACCGGCAGTCGTCCACGTGCAGGCCCAAAGAAACAACTTCGAGATTACCTTAAGCGTGCTCTTGTCTCTTGCAATATTGACCCAACACAATTAGAGAGCCTCGAAAGGGATTGGATCGGCTGGCGGTTTCTCTGCGTCGCCGGAGTGGCGAACTTCGAAAAGGAGAGACTAACAACGCTCGAGGTGAAGCAACACCAGCGCCATCATCAACCTGCCAATTCCGCATCGGGCATGTTTTCCTGCCACCTTTGCCCGAGAGCTAGTCGTTCGCGGATCGTGCTGAACTCTCATTTAGCAGCCCACAGAAGACGGACGGAGACTAAAGGGCAGTGACGTCGTCAGCAATGACGGACAGCCTAAGACACACACACAGAAGCAGACACACACACACACACACACAGCCAGACGATTTCCTTTAGTATAAAATAGACTGTCGCCTCTGGGTGTTTAATTCAATGACGACTTTACATATATATACGCTAGATTTGGCTGACTCAATCTGTCGAGTGATAGAGACTCTGAATAAAAAACAAATCGGTTGGGTTTCAATCCTGGCTTGAGGCATTTGCTTGTCTAGTCGCACTGATATAGCGAAACATTACTGCCTCCGAATATATATAAATATATATATATATATATATATATATATATATATATATATATATATTTTGTTAGATCATAATTAATAAACCCAAATAAAGTTAATATTTTTGTATTAGAAACAACGAGTGGAAAATATATTCAAATCAGAATTATAATCATGAATCATCACAAGCAAAATATGCAATTTTTTTACTGTATTCAATAAGTAAAAAAATCATAAATTGTAAAACTAAAAGATTACAGAAAGGCTACCTACATTTTTCAACCGATTTCAACAAAACTTCACTTTTTTTTTTGGCATGTAGTGTTTCTTATTGTCTTGCACACTTTTTTTCTTTATTTTTACATTCAGAATGCTTTAAAAAATTCCATTTACAAGACAATTATTTATAATAAAATTCTATTCAATCAGTAGACTCATAACGATTGAAAACAATGTTTTTGTTTGAGTTTGGGTTTGACCAATTCGTAAAAAAAAAAAAAAAAAAAAAAACTAATTAAGACATATGCGTGTCCGTCAACCTTAAACAATAATCTTTGTCAATTTTATTTTCAGTCTTTATGATGGTGGATACTTGATCTATCTCTTACTGTTATATCCCCATGCAACGCCAGGCTCTACTACTAGTATATATATATATATATATATATATATATATATATATAAATGAACATTGTAGTCAACATTCAGAGACATTGTGTTGACTTCAATGTTCAGTTTTATATTTACATATGCTCTATCCCTGATATTGTGCACTTTATTGCATAATTATAGCACGCCTTAAAATTTCTACACACACACACACACATATATATATATATATATATATATATATATATATATATATATATATATATATATATATATCAAATGTGGATGTTTCCTTTCTAAACCTTTGTTCTCTGTATTATGGAACGTCAATATCTTCATTATTTTCTTTTTGAATAACATACACTACGTCGTTTAGTTGTTGCTGCTGTTGGAATTCATCAAGTGAGATGTTTATGCTATTTACTACAATTCTTTATGATTCTGTAGAGCTGATCCACGAGCTATGAAGAAGGTTTGTCCTCTCACAGACCTACAGTCTTCATTCATTGAAAGAAATTTTATTCATTGATTCGAGAAAGCGGTTGGATAGAACTGACAGTTTACAGAGTCTAAACGAGTATCCTGCCACACATGACATCCGTATGCATATCTAGATCTGACAAGGTTATTTAAAAAATAGAAAACAAAATAAATAAAAAATTATATATTGTAGGGGATTACTTACATCACAGCAGTAGAAATTAATCTTGTGTTCACGGAGATAAAATCAAACTTAACAAGAAATAAAACAAACACAAATAACAGTAAAATAATTGTAAATTGTATACTAATTTAATATAATCATTGTAAATTGTATACTAATTTAATATAATTTATTTAAATTTTTGTGTGTATTGGTGCGACTAATATTTAGGTTACAGTTGCTTCATGTTACATTTGATAAATATAATACTCTAAAGTATAACTTGTCATATCAAAGAAATAAGTTACACACGCGTTGTCTGCCTGAGGGTTCTTGGCGAAGAGATTGGCAGGATGACTATTTTGGTTGTATGATAGGAGTAATTTTATTATATTTATTTTTATGTAATTTATTTTCAAGAAGGTCTAAATATTATTGTTTTGTTTTATTTTATTTGTAATTTTCCTTATTATTATTTTATATTTTATTTTTATTTATTTATTTATAATATTGATATCCCTACAATACTCACTGAATGTGCCACTGATATTTTGTCCGAAATAATAACTCTCCCGGATCTTCAAGACAACCGAAACAGGAATACAATCGTTATGAATTTTTTTAGCAAAGAGCTGTATAGGGTTTCTAGAAGTGAACGTAAAATTCACAGGAAACAGTGATGATGCCGCCGTTGATTTAAATTGTAATCAAAAAAATAGCGTAACACTAATCGACCGGCAAAGTTACATTGGCGAAACTAGTTCAATTTGGAACTAATCAAAGTCATTTTGGGACTAAGCAAGTTCATAATGAAATAGTCAAGTTCCGAATGGGGCGTGGCCAATTCAAAATGAAATATCCAAGTACAGAATGGGGCGTAGCAAATTCAAATTGAAATAAACAAGTTTCAATTGGGGCTAAGTAGATTCATTATGGAAAAATGTTTCGAACTTATCTGCGTGTTTCAATAAATAAATATCATGGATTAAAAATCAACTGGGCAGTAAATCAGATAATTAGAATTCGGAGCGCAGCGTTGCGTAGCTTTCACTATCAATTCCTTACAAGAAGTTATTCTTGAACGGATAAATATGTGTCAAAGTTTTAGTTTCTGGCACTTTCATTGGTAAGACAATCAGGAAGAAGAAAGAGATGGATAGACTGTATATAGTCTTAAAAAAAGAAAAATAAGAGAGACTCATTCAAAATGAAATGATTTGGGGGACAACAGGGCAAATCTCGAAAGTCCTAAGAAAAAGCAGTAAGGAAATACTGAATGCAGATATCAAGATAGAGTTTGAAATAATATAGGTATAATGAGAGAATTTAATCGCTGAAAGTTGCATTCAAAAAGCATACACCTTTCATGAATTTTCTTGATTGCTCTTAGAAGATAAAACATTTCAATAGGAAAGTTTAGTTGAACATTATTATTTTCTCCTGCAAATATTTAATTTTAAAGTCTTTTTACAAAATACTTGCTCAGTCCCAAATTGAATTTGCCTAATCCATTTTGAACTTGCTAAGTCCCAAATCAAATTTGCTTATTTTATTTTGAATTTGACTATTTCATTTTGAATTTGCTTAGTCTCATTTTGAATCTGCTTAGTCCCATTTTGAATTTGCTATGTACCAAGTTAAATCTGACTATTTTTGAATTTGCTACATCCCATTTTGAATTTGCTACATCCCATTTGGAATTTTCTATGTCCCATTTGGAATTTGAATATTCCATTTTGAACGTGGCTATTTCATTATGAACGTGCTTAGTCCCAAAATGACTTTGATTAATCCCAAATTGAACTTGAAATGGTATAGTTATAATTCTAGTCTTTTCGGTTACGATCCTTGGAAAAGTGATGAATTCATTTCTTTATCCCACTGCAATTGTGGATTAAATAACAGAGTAAAATGGTCTCTCTAACATTGGTGGCAGGTAGTTTAGGAAGATTATGCTGAATTCAAATCAATAGTACTAACATTTCCAAGAAGTAATGACAATCCTCAGATATTAAAGAACCGGTAGCTGAGGAGAGCAATGATCGCCGACGTCCTGAATGATTAAAGTCTTTAAAACGTACCGAAGTCAAAACTTAAACGAATTCATTTTTAAAGTAAATACCTCATTATATAAAAAAAGATCAGACGGAATAGCAACCTAGTTTTATTAGAATATCTCGCTGACAAGGATAGGTTATCAGAAAAAGAAATAGAATAAATTGAATATTTGAATAATTGTTATAATAACTAGAAAAATTAGAATAATTGTCAGAATAATTAAACAGAATAACAGAATAGAATAATAGCAAAAGTAGAATAACTTGTCAGAATAACAAAATAATAGAATGACTATAAAATGGATTAACCCGATGGCAAAATATCACGCAAAACAATTCCTTGTCCTAGAGTTTCTTACATTTTTTCTCCTCGAAATATTTCGTACATTGTTAATTAATAAATATCTTAAAATCATTAATGTAGAAGAGCAAAGTAGTTTTGAGTTAAACGATAAACAAATTTAATAAAATACGCTAGGTAGTATCTGTAAGAGAATGGTAATAAATTTTGACATACACGAATTATTTAGTATTTTTATACATATAAATTGACTAAATATAAAGTGACAAAACTCTGACAGACTATAGTCTGTCAGAGTTTTGTCACTTTAAGAGTTTTGCCTGGGTCCAGTATATGCATTCTAGAGGGAATTAGTTATCTGATTCAAATCTCCAATGTCTTCGGCCATAATCTTTATTATGTCACACATGCATACGACAGTACACTGTCTCTGCTGAGATTTAGTCGTTAACATGCCGCGAAGCTTTCGTCATGTTGAGAGCGTCCAGTGCGAGCAAATGTTATGGGCTGGAGACGTATACATGCTCCTTTTATTCAGTTAGAGCCATCGGCGAGGCGTCGAATAACGGGCTTTCAAGAGGCTGAATTGTCCTGCTGTGCATGTTGGATGTGATGAGTTGGTAATTATCTGAATGCTAGCAACCCCGTAGAACACATCACGATATCCACCTTTAGGGCCAGGTTTAAGACGGCCAGATAATACAGACACTCGCCCAGATCGACGCACTGTAACTGTAGCAAAAACCCGCATTGTATTCAGAGTACAGATTCATAGGAAATTCCGACGTAGGAATTTCAAAACTGGTCGTTTTTAATTGTTTATTTACAAAAGGAAAACGTACACCTCCTTACACCAAACGTCCGTCATGTATTATTTTTGGCTAATCAGACAGTTAAGTGCCATACGGGATACACAATCCATGACTGCGGTAGACTGTTTGCCAGCCAAGGCTAAAGCACCCAGTCTGTCCAGCTATTCAACACATATCTGGAGGAGAAAGAGATGGAATCATACTATTCCCAAGGGTATGTGTGCGTAAGGGAATCTAATGAATTCGACTGGAATTCGAACACGGACATCTCCCTAATGCCACTTGAGTTAGTGTTACTGAACAAGCTGAGTGAAATGAGCTTAAG